CGCCGCCGCCGGCGCTCCCGAGTAAGTGAACGAGTGAGGGCCGGGGCGCCGAGGGCTGTCGCCCACGAGTTGGGGCTTAGGGAACCGGGCGGGTCTGGGTTCGGGATGCTGAGGAGATCGCGGGCGGGCGCCAGCCTCCCACACACACACACACTCCCGGCGCTCCGGCGGGGGACGGGGAGGAGTGGGACAGCGGCCCTAGGCCAGGAGGGACGCGAAGGAGGGTCGGCCCCGGGCCGGAGGGTAAGTCCCGCACAAAGGGCTGCGCGGGCTGTCACCGGGAGGTCACGGAGGGAAGGTTCGCAACGCCCCGCCTGCTCCACTTGCCAGTGCTGGGCGTCGGGCCCCCGGGCGTGGGAGGCAGCTAGGATGTGCAGGAAGGCGAAGACGGCTGCCTCGGTGTTGGCGATGGGAACGCGCCTTGAGGGGCGCGGCGTGGCAGTGTTTTCCTGGTCCCCATCTGCTCCTCCCCTTTCTTTGTGGCGTTTGTCTCGTGCCCGTTTGTCACTGTATGTATGGATATGGTCTGGGGTGCGATCTCTCGCCTGGGCTTACTCATTAATGAAAGTCAGGTGGTAGCCTCCGATCTGTGGGGGCGGGGGGCGGCGCGTGTGCTTACACAGGCCAGAGAATTAAGGACCCTCCTTTGTTTTCGGAGACCTAATGAGGCATGTGTGTGTTTGTGTGTGTATCTCCTATGAAATGATTCAGAGACCGTTAAAAATGGTTTGAGGAAAAAAGACATTACTTCATCAGACCTTCACCGAATTTTGTCTCTGATGTTCTTTCAAACAGTATTTTGTTTGTTTTTCTCTTACTGTAAAATCAGTGGGTTTCGTTAATTGAAAATGTATGTCTATATTCTCATATATTTCTATATCTAGAACACTCTGCTTTTTGGGTTAATGGTAAGATACTCGTATATACGTACATGGAAATACTCCAGTACATATAGGACACTCCTCTCTGGGTTTAATTCATTGTCAATATGTCTTTATACTCATATACATGTCTATAGAAATACGCCAATGTATCTAGGATACTGTTTTCTCAGCTCCTTAGTTCGGGCAGATTTTGTTTCTTCCTGCCTCCCTGTGTTAAATAAGAAGGTGGTCCAGCAGGTTCTGTCCACCTCCTTGCTCTTTTTTTTTTTTTTTTCTTAATGCTTTGGCACAGAGTTTTATTGCATATTACCCTGACATGCGCCTTTGCTTTGATCTGAATTTCCCTGTGTTCTGTTGTCTGGTTGTGTAGCCCAGCTCAATGGCTCCTCTTACAGGACTACTGGAAAACAGAATACCTTTTATCATTGTCCTCATCCCCAGGAAGCTCTGCAGGTTCCCACAGACTTTGGCTTGGTCAGTAGGACTGACTGCCTGACTGTTGTCTTGGTAAAGTTACTGAAGAGTTACAGTTGATGGAGACCAATTAAAAAAGCAATTGTAATAGCACCAGCTATCCCTTGCTATTTCGTTTGGACCTTTTTCTCTTTTTAAACCAGATTTTATAAATTTTAGAACATAATTGGCTGCATTTTCAATTTTTTTACCCTTATAATTTTACAGAGTGATGAGAAATTAGCTAAAGTAGGTTATAATAAACACACCTCTAAAATATATTTTTATTATGATTTTGAATCACAATGGTGGTGAAAAATTAGGAACTTATTGGATAATATGAATAATTGAATTGGTTTAATTTTAAGGTTCTCTTAAAAATTATTTTGTAATCACATATATGTTAATTCTTGATAATTTCAGTGCAAAATGACATCTAAGCTAAGCAGTCTTCCACAGTATTGTTTATGGATATTCCCTCTGTTAAAAACATTTGCTTTTAATTTGAATAGGAAATTTTCCATTGGTTGTATCGGAATCCATTATTCTTGGTAAAATTCTTACCTTATGTTAGCATGGTCAAATTCTTTTATTGTGAAGTTAAAATTAGTAGAAGTTGACTTTTCAGTTTGCAGAAATTTTGGTTTTATGATGTAGAATTTAAATACATTTTTATTTCAATGAATTTAAGTCAAAATAAGTTAACTTAAAAACAAAGGCTTCATTAACTTCCTTAACTAGTGTCACTAATATTGAAGCAACCCTAATAATTTTTATAAACTGCCTGCATCTGATTTTTCTTTAAGGACTCCCCTTAAACCATAAGGGGAAGTCTTAGATAAACAGAGTGGTATAACCGGAATTATCGCTGAAATACACTTGCATAGTACCACAATATTGTGGAACTTTAATTTTGCAAGAGTGACTTAGCTATTGTTTGAATCAACAAAGGAACCTATAAACATGCTGGCCTTGTTATTCAGCATTCTGTTAACTAAAATCTTTACCAACCCATAGTTTAGCATTTCCTGTAGTATGATGATTGAAGAAAAAATCCTAAAGTAATTTCTATATCATTAAAATAATTGTTATGTTAAATGTAAAATATATTCTCTATATTCATTAGAAATACTAATATTGTTTTGTTAGTGATAGTAATAGCTTGTATGGTGACATTTAGTTACCCAAAACTGGGATACATTATCCCGTCAACAATATCTAATAAATAAAAAGTAGAATTTTTTTCTATTGAGCATTTTCTAGCAATAATTGTTTTCTGTTTCAAATGGCAGTTGATTCTAAAATCAGTAACAAAGTAACATTATTATAATGTATTAACTTAAACTATATAAAATTGCCATTTTTTTAGTTTGAGCAATAGTTAAAAATCAGCAATTTCATATAGTTCAACCATTTTTAACTCTCAATGGTTCCTTCTGGTATTTACATTTATCTTTATTTCATTTTAATGTTTAAACTGCTATTTCTTGATTTTTCACATTTGGGTATTATCTATGGACTTCTGTTTTGGAAGTTGAGGACTTAGTTGTACCATTCAGCCATCTTTGCATTCCTCCTTCATACCTATACTTTGCTGTTCCCAGTTAAGTCAGTATTCAGTATTTATACGACTGCGACATTGTACCTATTATTCACAGATGATCCATGTGGGGTACTACTATTACATTTTCTTTCTTGTGCAACTTTTGTTTCTCCCAAATTAAATAATTGCCTCTTTTGTTTGTTTTCATTTGCTTAGTTTTCTTTGTGCCAATCATTAATTCACCCTTAAATTCTATGACAGAACTAATAATCGTTCAGTATTTTCAGGTATTCTCTGTTTCTTTTTTCTTAGCTGTCCTCTAGGACTTCCCTATGTCATCATCTTGGGAATTCCCTGTGCCTTCTTCCTGTGTTGAATCCTTCATTTCCTGGATCCTGTGTCTCCTTCATTCTTTAGTAGCTCCTGAGAAAGGGCATGAATAAACTCTGAAATTCTTTCCTAAATTCAGAAGTTGCATGTCTGGAAATGTCTGGAAATGTCTTCATTTCACTCTCACACTTGAATGGTGGTTTAGCTGGACATTGAATTCTAGATTAAAAAACAGCGTCCCTCTTTTGAAGGCATTGTTCCATTAGCTTCCAGTACTGCTCTTGAGAAGTCCAGTGCCATTCTAATCCCCATTTCCTTTTTTCTCCCACTCTGGAAGATTTTAGGATCTTCTGTTTATCCTTGGTTTTCCAGACATTTCATGGTGTTCCAGACATTTCATGCTTAGCAGTTACTCTGCTTTTTCTTTTTCTTTCCTTTTGCTCATGGGGCAGATAATCTTTTCCAAAACGACCATGTGGTATGTATGTACATACAGACACACACACAAATCCCATCTCACCCAATATGCTTTTCTTCGTGGTATTGACATGCCTCCATCAAGAGGTGTAGGTCTTTGTTTCCTCTCTTTGAACCTGTGCAGTCATGAAGGCTCTTCAGAATGTTGGGTCTTGAGCCAACATGGTTTCGGAGCACAGCTGAATGATCACGAGCATGCACTTTGCGGGGAGGGGGCGTGTAGTTTTTGTTTTTTACTTTGTGATGGAATCATTACTAGAAATAGCACCAGAGAAAGTTTCTTCAATCCAGTCACCTCTGGATTCAACGTGAAGGCTAACAGGTACATTTAAAAAAATCTGTAGGAACCATTCATGACCAAAAAGAAACAATCTTTAAGCTTTATGATTAAATATGTCATGCCTAAATATGACAAATATATTACTTGTAAGAATTTCTGTGATGGGAAGATGGAGACAAATGGTGCTACATAGGCCATGGCTTGATTGGACATTGTCAGTGACTTCATGTTTATCTCATAGATACATATTTTTTTTACCCATCAATGTTTTTTCTATTTACAACTGCCTTATCCCTCATCTAGCTTTTCCATGAGGGCACATGAGTGGCTGAATATTACTGGAGAACTTCAGAGTCATGACCAAAAATCTGAAGTGGGTTCTCAGCACTGCCCAGGAAAGCTACCAGATTCCTAATAAGATTTTTACTTGTAAATATTTAATAATTTCTCCACGTTCTTTAATCTCATGAGCAACCCACCTCTCCCCATACTGATATGCAGGCTTCATACTTCATTGAGGGTTTAGAAGTAATTAGACAGATACCCCTCATGTTCCCCCTTGCCAAATCTAGAAATCTACCTTCCTTAGGACCCATGTTTTTCTTTTCTTTTTTTCCTGTTAGAGGCAGTCCCTTCCCACATATTCCCCCTCATACCTACTCAAGGACTTGAGCATTTGTGCTCTTTCTCTTGCATCAGCAACTCTCCGAGGTACCATCCATGTCAACATAAACACATGCTATGATATTGCCCATCTTTGAAAACAATAAAAAATTACAACAAACAACTTTTCCCTGGCCTCCCATCCATCCCCTTCTGTTTTACCTTCATGGTTTAATGTCAAAAAAGTCTGCATTTCCTCCCTACCTCCTCTGTAAAACATAGCACTCTCTGAAATTCTGTTGTTGACTGATTTTTATGTCTCTTACCCCCACTGGAAGGTCAGCTTTAGGAAGGCAAGGACTTCATCTGTCCTGTTTACCACTGCGTCCCATAGGACAGCAACTGGCACAAGTACCTACTCAATATGTGGGCAAAAAAGGCACAACTGACA